AGGCGGATGCCTCCGGTGGGGTGCGGGCGCAGCTCCGACGAGACGAGGTTGGGCACGTGCGTCGACAGGTTGTCGTAGTCGGTCAAGATCGCCCACACCGCCTCTGGCGGAGCGCTCACCACGATGCTCGCCTGTGGCGGGCAAAGACGGGCCTCGGAGACAGCGGCGCGAAGCGGCGGCGGTGGCGGCGGCGGTGGCGTCGCAGCAGCGGCGGTGGCGGCGGGCGGTGCGGCCCGCACCGAGATGCATCGCGAGTTGAAGCCGGTGGTCGAGATGGAGACAGGGACCGCGCCGGTCGCTATGTTATCAGTCTGCATCACGCCAGCGGCTCGCGCAAGCGGGTGCGCGGCGCGCGGGACGACCGCCTGCCGGAGCGGCACGTTGAGCGCGGCGGCTATCGCGAGGACAGAGAGCATATCGCGCGAGAAACAAAGGCCCAGCGCGTCTGAAGATGCGGGCGAGCGCCAGCGAGCGGAAGCCGGCGGTGGCTTTGCTCTGAACCCTCCCGGTCCCGGGTTCCAACTTTTCCTCTGGTCCTGACCGCCCAAGGCTAGCCCTACCATACCCCAAGCAGGTCTTCCAAGAGGCGGGGGGTATGGTCTTGAGGTGGGTTGGCCGAGCCTACCATACCGTACCCCGGAAAAAGTTGGCACCCTGCTGTCGAATGGAGAAGAAACTCGGATGAAACAAAGATTTTTCTTTATCTTGCCCCCAGGCCGCTGCTCGCCCCAGCGCCGGCGCCGCCCTCCTCCCGCCGCCGCCCGCCGCCGCCACCCGCCACCCGCCGCCCGCCGCCCGCCGCCCGACGTGCGCCGCGTCGCCGCGACTCCCGTTGCCCGCGCCGCGCCGACTTCTTCCCGCCCGAGTGCCGCCACTCCCGTTGCTGTCTGTGTAACCCTCTTGAAGCGCCCAGTAGGTCTGCGCTGCACATTACGGTTGTCGCTTGGGTGCAATGAAGCGGGTGCTCGTCGGCGTCGGGAAGGCCCTGCGCGACACCGGTCAGGCGGTGGAGCGGATGGGCATGCGCGCGCAGGACAACTGGATTTTCCAAGAGAAGATCTGCAGGCACCGCGCCCTGATGAACCTGTTCGACCAGCGACCAAAGCTGCGGCCCTCCGTATTCGTGGCGCCGAACGCCTCCCTCATCGGCAACGTGAGCGTGATGGACGAGTCCTCGATCTGGCGCGGCCGCCGCGCCCTCGCCCCGCGCCGCCGCGGCCCTCTCCGCCCTCTCCCGTCGCCCCTCACCCCGAAGACCACACACGAGCATTCCGAGCCGACCCCGGCCGCTTCTGACGCCGCCGACTTCCTAGCCGCCGCCCCCTCCGCCGCCCCCACTGCCGCCTCTTTCCACCGCCGCCTCTTCCACCACCGCCTCTTCCACCGCCGCCGCTGCCGCCGCCGCCCCCCTCGCCTCCCCCTCCCACACGCGCCGCAGCCTGGACGCCAATTCCGC